TGGACTCTAAATTAGGGGTCACTCTAGTAATGATAAGGACACATGGAGGGTAGAGCTTACTAGGACCTGAATCGGGTGGAATTAGCTAAGCGAAGTAGAGGGCTAGCTCATGCACCTCTTGGGTTTGCTCGAAACTAGCTTAGGCGAGCAAGTTTATTGGGATTGAAGATAGCTCCAAAATGATCGACCATGGCTAGCATAGTTGGATGCATCCTTCGGGTTGGTAATTTGAACTTCATCGGTGGGGGTGAGATGTTCTATAGCTTGAGGGGTTCTAATTTTGTTTCTAACATCGGATGGAGATATGGATTGGATTAAAAAGGGTGTATTCATGGTTGCAACATCCCGTAGGTCGGGCGCATGGGTGGTTAGCATAGGTTGGGGACTGCCAATCATGGGTGTGATCTGTAGGTTGAAGTTTGATGGGTATTTATGGTTAGGCTTGGGGCTATAAGCTTTTGATTTTCCTTTAGCCCTTGATTGAAGGCCCGAGTGTCCATCCGAGCTCCGACCTTGAAGATATGGTCCTCTAATGTGTGACCTATCGGCTTGGATGAGTCGTAATCCACTTGATTTTCTCCTAAAATTCCTTTTCATTTGGCTATCACTCGGAATATTTAAGATAACATATTTATTGCTAAGATTTGGTCGGCCATATTTCCTTCCCCTCGAGTTGATTCCTTGGTCATGAATTTCTTTTTAATCTTTTTTCCACCATCATCTATTCACCAAGTCCCTAATTTACTCCCGACATCCCACCATTTTCCTTAGGTAGCAAATTTTCTTTAACCACGTAAGCCTAATTATTGTCGTGGTTTCCATGATCAATGGGGCGAGCTTGGAAGGGGTTAAAGTGACGGGCATTCAAAGGCTTTATGGCCATACCTCCTACATTGGAAACAAATAATGTGAAGGCCTTCTTATACCACGATGTATATTTTGCCATCTAGCTTCAAGTTGACCAACTAAGTGGGAACCTAATTCAATTTAAACATAAATTCTTATAAACTTGCCTCGATTTGTAAAAGCGGTATTCTTATCGATTTTGATAAGCCTTCTAATTCCTAAAGCTAAGGCCATTAGGAGATCCTCATCATAATATTGGACCGAGATATTAGGAATTCTAAATAACAAAAGAGTCGAATCTATAGTCCCTCCGAGGCGATGAAGTCGAGATTCCATGGCTTCACCGAAAGGTAGTGATCAAGAATCATCAACGATCCTTCCCCGATAACCACTTTCAAAGTCATCTCTGTCATCTAGCTTGACTAGAAAAAAATCACAACCAAGGTCTAGGACATCAAACCCATCATTGGGTTTCCACAATAGTTCAATCTTGGAGTGTAACAAGTGAAATGAGATGGATTTACCTAACAACTTGATGATAACCAGTCAACATCATGGAGTTTCCCAAGTGGAGAGGAAATGTAGGTCAACGAGTGAAACTAAGTAGTTGAGGATTGTTATCTCTAAAGGATTTATGTACAATTCTAGAGGCAATTAGATTAACTAGTTATCGATCCTTGGAAGCATAAACTTCCTCTTTTTTCTTTTCATAAGCCATAAGTTTTTCTAAAAAAAATGGTTTAGGTGATGAGGATGCATTTAACCTAGTAGATTGTTATGGTTCTTAGACATGATTAGGGGGAGGGGTTCTCTAAGGGTCGAGTGACTCGGTCTTCTTAGTGGGGCGAGGGTCATTGGTGGAGGCACGTTCTCTTGGTAGAAAAAAACTCATGTCATTGGTGGAGGCACTTTACCTAGTTACCATAGCATCGGTACAATCTGTGTTAGTCGGCATTGTCCTCTACTAATTAGTTTTATGAGTTTGAATCAATCAAGTAGGGCATTATCCGGCAATCCTTTTCCTTAACTAGCATAGATTGTCAAATACCCGATTTCTAGTTTCAATTAACTTAAATAATCGATAGTATTTAAAATGTTGGCCAACTTCCATTTCCCACTCACTTGAATAGTTGGCTATTTGTAATGCTTGGTATTTATATGAAGTTCCAAATTTGTTCAAAATTATTATCATACTAAACGAGTAATAAAGTTTTAAACATAATGTCTCTCCCTAATTCTCGAAATGTCCAAGAGATACTATCTTATATTTTTTCTTTAACTTTATACATGCTTAATTTATCCATGAAAAGTAATTAAAAATTTAATTATATACTAAATTATATACATATTAGCATGAATTCAAGCTATACAATAAATAAATTGGGCTAAAAATGAGTCTTTTCTAATATAAAACTTTGGACCTTGCAAAAATTAGATATGAGTATTCTAGTAAGGCTAGTATCTACTCTTTGACTTTAGTTTACATTGAGAATATTGGTTTGGTGCGCTCGGAGTAGAATTCGCTAAAGAAATATTCAATTGTTATTTTTTTAGCATTTCTTAGTAAGTTGAAGTAGTTTAGCTTAAAAAAATCTAGTTTCTTAAATTCAAATCGACAATCTAAACAAGATATCGTGGTGTGATCCTTACTATTTTTCGGCATACATAACTTAGACTACAACAAGAACAGGTAAAAAGTCTTCAAAATCCTTTATGACAACAATGTTGTGTTTGTCCAAGCCCTTAATAGTATCATCCAACTACTTCTCGTGAGTGGATTGCCCAAGACTATTATTTCTTAAACTGTAAAACCACCAACTATTAATATAGAAGATGACCCGATGCCATCTTTTCAACTAAATGATATGAAAACATCTATCCATCAAACACCCACCATGCGGCCATACATAACTATCAATCGCATCATCACACTCCAGACTTCTAGTAATCAAAGATATTATTTTGCTAAGGTCTAAGAAAAGTTATTCAAATGCAAACTAACAAAATCGTTAGCAAGTTTGATCTCATATTTTTCTATCTAATCCGCATTACTATGAGCCCTTTTTTGAAAAACCATATAAGTCATAAAGTTTAAGGTTTTCAATGAAAAGTTAAGAAATGCTAAGAGCATCTTATGAAATTTGTAGGGACCTTGGACATTTATGGTTGAGATGATGATATGAAGATGAAGGAATTTCTAAGTTTTTAGCCGAAAAGGCATACACTTGGTATGTGCCACTAGCTTTGTCTAGACGTGGAAAATTATATGCAAGTTATTTATTAAGTTTTTCTTCACTAATGAGAGACTGACCATACCTAAGTTTGAAAATGAATGCCAAAAGTTACGGAGAGGGTTTTGTTGGAATATATTGAACGGTTCATAAATCGTATGTTAGACATCTAGAAGGGCTTTGATGAGAAAGAAGTTATCAATATGTATATTTAGGACATGTACAAAGAGTATAGGATGCATCTTGAGAATTTAAATTTGATTATTTTTTCTACCTTAGTGGAAAGCGCTCGTCGGACCAATAACTCTATTGTTTTTTATGAAGAAATGACTTCATCTCTATTGTTAGTAGTACCAAAAAGTCCTTTACTGAATATCATTTAACTAAACATGCGTCCCAATAAAGAACAAGAAGGACGAGTTATTGAAACTTCGTTCTATAAGTTAAGTGAATCCACCATCATATTTTTCTTAGACCATAGACTTGGTCTACGGTTTGTTAGATTGTTGGATGGTTAATCAAGTTGTTATCTTCTCATTGATGAAGAAACTTACATTCCAAAATAATAAGGCGGATCTCAAGTATTATTGACTTCATAGATACGTAAGGCGGTTGATAGAAAACTATTACATCTACACTTATCGGTTTTTAAAATTTTTAATTATTTTTTTTTATATATCCACGTATCCTTATGTAGTGAATTTGTTTTTGATTTTTGTAATTATTAAGTGTTTTTGCTAATAAAATAAACAATTTCCATGAAAAATTTGTTCAATCCTATATTTCGATTTTTATGGTTAAAAAAATTTATGTACTTGATATTAAAAAAAAAAAAAAAAAAACATGAATGAATGTAAAGACAAATGAGTTCTAAACTCTTAAAAATTACTTAGATACACATAACTGCCGCTAACCAAAACAAAAGTTTTAAATTTTTTAATTTTAGGGTACTAAAGTTATATAACAGGATGTAGGTTTCTACATTACATTATTATAATTAGAAAACTAAAATCATTGGATATGAAACTTATTTTGCTTAAAAAAAAAAAAAAAACTGGCCGAAACATAATTAGTAAACTAAACTCACCTTTTTTTTTGATAATATACCATTTTTAAATTATTCGCATAAAAATAGTGTTTCAATTAATTTCATCAGTATATTTATCATCATCTGCATTTATTTATTTTGTGGGAAGACTAGCATGTTAAAAATATATATATATATATATATAATTTTGAATAAGTCCACACAAATGATGGGTAATTGGCTAATTTTGAACTTAAGTTTAAAAGAGAAGTTTATTCTTCCGGAATGGACTGATCCAATTAGGGATAACTTGTCACCACTTGAAAGAAAAAAAAAAAAAAAAAGCCAAATGAAGGGAAGATTTCAGATATTGACGTCTGTAAATCGAAGAGCACGTGCAGTGTCCCATCTAATGTGGCAAGATCTAAGATCTCTGCCACTTCTCTTCTGTGCCATATAACCCCAAATCCAACCTTTACCAACAAACGTTCAGAAGCTTCTTTCATAGAATTTTTTTTCTTTTTTCTATTTTTCATTCATTAAGGAAAAAATAAATGAAAGAAATAATCTTTTTTATCCATAAAAATAAAAACAATAACACTGTAATTAATAAAAATGGTGAATATCCAGCAAGTCAGAGCATAGATTCGTGATAAAAAAGAAAAAGAGGCCGTAGCTTCTTTTTGTCAACTCTGTTTTTCCTTCCTTCAATGCTTCTCTTCTTTCTATACTCTTTCTATTTCCCACTTCTTCCATTTCTATTTCTATTTCCGCCATTTCTCCTATTCTCAGAACGATAAAACTATTCTTTTTAAATTTGATCCATCTTTAAAGACATAAAATAAAATATATATAAAAAAAAAGGTTTCTTTCTCTCTTTCTTTGAGAAACTGAGGATGCCACAGGAATCCTCGTCCGAGCCAGACCCGGATAATTCTGATGCTGAGTTCGTCGAGATTGACCCCACTGCTCGTTATGGTCGGGTTTGTATTGTGTTTCTTCCTTATGTCATGCAATTTGAAATTTTGATTAAAGTTTCTATTTTTAGTTTTTGTTGATCAAGGTTGAATCAGCCCATGTTGGAAATAAATCATATTGTTGCTTTTCTCTTTCTCGGGTCAAATTTTTGATCATTTTATTAGTTAGTTTGGCATTTTGATTTGCTTTTGTTAATGGTTTTTTTTTTTTTTCCTTGCAGTATAAAGAAGTCTTGGGCCGGGGTGCTTTCAAGAAAGTGTATCCTTTTCTTTTTTGTCACTTATAATGGAAACAACTTTGCATGAATAATGGAAGCTACTGTTTCTATTATTTGTGTGTGTGTGTGTGTGTATGTGTATGTGATGCAAGTAAGGGTTACTGAGTGTGAAATTATATATGGATTTGTCCTTGATTGGATTATGGCGGTTTAGATATAGAGCATTTGATGAATTGGAAGGAATAGAAGTAGCTTGGAATCAGGTTAAAGTGGCAGATCTGTTGCGTAATTCGGTGGATTTGGAGCGTTTGTATTCTGAAGTTCATTTGCTCAAGACTTTGAAGCATAAAAACATTATCAAGTTCTACAATTCTTGGGTCGACGCCAAAAATGAGAATATCAACTTCATCACTGAGATTTTCACTTCGGGGACATTGCGGCAGTAAGCCTTTGAATTCTTCTATTAATGTTTTTGGATTTTAGTTTGATTTAACCTGGTTGCTTGTTTACTTGCGGTGTAGGTATCGGCAGAAGCATAAGCATGTTGATCTGAGAGCATTGAAGAAATGGTCTAGGCAGATTTTAGAGGGACTTTTGTATCTTCATAGTCATGATCCACCAGTTATTCATAGAGATTTAAAATGTGACAATATCTTTGTTAATGGAAACCAAGGTGAGGTGAAAATTGGGGACTTGGGTTTGGCTGCGATTCTTCAGCAAGCTCAGTCAGCTCATAGTGTTATTGGTGAGGACTATTTTCTGGTGATTTGCATGGTATTTTGTTTATTTTATTTTTGACATGGAAGGTGTTCTAGAGGTTTTGTTATCTGTTGGCAATGATAACAGTATTGTTAATGTGAAATTAGGTACCCCGGAGTTTATGGCACCAGAGCTTTATGAGGAGGAATACAATGAGCTTGTCGACATTTATGCCTTTGGCATGTGCTTGCTGGAGTTGGTGACTGTTGAATATCCATATGTCGAATGCACCAATGCTGCTCAAATATATAAGAAAGTGACATCGGTAAGGGACTCGTATTCCTTTCTCGAATTTAAGTTTATTTTACAAACTAATTCAGCAATTTATATTCTTGCTATGTTTCTAATGTCGTAGAGTGTAGACTATTTTCAATACAATTCAAAAGAACAAAAAGACAAATTTTAATGCAGATCTGCCTTTGTAGTTTAATATCTTGCTGCATCTTTAAACTTTTAAATGCCGTGTGGTCCTGATAGTTTAGTTTGTCAAATTGCATTGGGAATTGATTTTCTTTATTCTTTGAAAGAATTTTGACCATCACAGGTGTTAATGTCTGTTCTCTTTCTCCATCCATTCCTGACTAAATGATCCGTTGGGCATCAGATTTCTTACAATCTTAATTTTACATGTGTGTTGTAAGGTGAAAACCCTGTATTAATCTTGTGGAGTCTCTGTTCTCAATATACTTTATTGTTCTCGTGATAGTTTATGATACAAGCATCAGTTCATTAATTGGTGGAAGAATTTGGCACTAACATGATGCTTATCTTCCGACAACGTGATAGTTTTTCAGTTCTTTATTTATTACAGGACATATTCGTGTAGATATCAATGAACCCCTTAGAAGCTGGACATGCTATAGTTCCCCAATATACTTGAATATGGTGTTGGCGTACATATGTTCCTCCTTAATGTATGCTGACATTATCTCAGATTCTCGCTCTTTCTCCATGCAATATGTATGCTTGCCATTGTGGATCAGGCTGTGTCTTCAGTAGGACAGGGTTCGTATTGGTAGAGTAGAAGCTTGTAGACTTTTCTGCAGAACCTCTAATGACAGCCAACTAGTTTTTGACAGTATTTAGAAAAAATTCTACTACGTGGAGATTTGAAAAATGTAGAAATTGTAGCCTATCCACTTGTTGTGTTCCTGTGCTTTCGTTGTCAGATTAGATCAGACACTGCAACGTTTAGACCATCTTGCATTAATAAATGTCACTTTTCCTTGCTAAGTCTTTTTCTGAATCAAAGCTTGTCCAGCTTTTAATACCTGGCTTCCTGTCCCAGTTCATGCACAGCTAGTGGCTCCCAGCACATTATCAATTTTTTTCGTTGTGTTTTACATTATGGTTCTTAGTTGACATTCTGGTTTTTCTTTTTCTTGAAAGGGAATTAAACCGGCATCATTATCAAAGGTGAAAGATCCTGCTGTTAAAGCATTTATAGAAAAATGTATTGCAAAGGTCTCTAACCGTTTACCGGCAAAGGAACTTTTGATGGATCCCTTTCTTCAATCAAATGGGGAAAATGAAAGTGTTGCTCACTCTTTACAACCCAAAGCCCATTCTTCAGGTAAACTTAAACTCCTTCCAAATTCTGTGGTGTTCAAATGTTTTTTACACTCTGTTTGGTACTTGAAAACAAAAATCATGGATAGGAAAACTGAGAGAAAAAGGAAATAGAATTTCTTTTCTTTTTGTCTATCTATGAAAATGACTAGAAAAATATTTAAGTGCTTAAATCCTTGGTGGGAAACGCACAATTCACAACTCGTACAAAGGTTCCTCAACTTACCTTGCCTCTTTTTCTCTTCCATGTTATCGACTAGATAAGGGAACTTGATTCCTTGCAATCCTGTTTTCCCCCACTTTCCTTAAGCCAACCACATCATTAATTTTTCAGCCCTGACACTTTGCATATGAACTGCAGTTGGCAGTTCTGATCAGATTGATGTTAATGAAAGTGCCAAGGATTCTTCTGCTGAACCAAGTAGAGATTTCAGTGTACAAGGGCAGAGGAAAGACATTAATACGATATTTCTGAAACTAAGGATAGCTGATTCCACAGGTTCTCTCTCTATCTCCCTCCATTAAAGGTTTTGTCCATCTGCGTCAACAAATAATTCTAATTGAAAGATTGTCTCCATGCTTCAGGTCATTTCCGCAATATCCACTTCCCGTTTGATGTTGAAGTAGATACAGCAATTGCAGTTGCTAGTGAAATGGTGGAAGAGTTGGATCTGACTGATCAAGATGTTTCAACAATTGCTGCCATGATTGATTCAGAAATTCGGTCCCATATTCCTGATTGGGCTCCCAACAATATTTCACTAGAAAATTTACCTGCAGAGGACTTAGAGTTTCCTTTTGAAAATAAGGATGACAGTTCACCTTTGTCAAATGAATCTAGTCACTCTCCAGGTAGTCTTGTATTGGAAAGATTGCCTTCAGGTCGTAAGTATTGGTCCGACTCACCCAAGGACGGTGGAAGCTCTCCAAACAAGCTTGGGCGTTCGAACCTGTATTTCCATGAGTCTTGTCTCAGTAGTCCAAATGCTGCTCAGTCACTTGGACAGCTGGAGGCTGGGAGCATGTCTGATGATGACCATAACAGTGCAAAAGGTGGAATTAACGGATCTGATGATTTGCAATTCGCTAATAGAAACAGTACATCTGGCAAGATAATTGGTGAGAAACTTGAGAATCTTCTGGTAATGCAGCAACAAGAACTAGAGGAACTAAAGAGGAAGCACAGAGGAGCCATATCAGACCTTCTAAATGAAGTTTCTCCAGAAAACCGTCTGGAGGTTTTAAATATATGTAAGCAGAAAATACCTGGTTATGAAATGCCGTGATGCAGTGTGCATGGAGCGTCTTAAAGACATGGGCTACCCTATAGAATTTGAATTGTCTTCCATTGCGCATCTTCAGCTTGACAATGGATGGTAAGCTGGTAATTAGACGAACTCTGAAAGGTTTTCAACCAATCACAATGGATCAAGACATCTCTGAGGCTTACAGATCTCAAGATCTTTATCGCAGCAATCCTGCTGCTTGACATGCCCTGAAAGACATGCTGTGATATTGAGCCATGGGAGACAATGGAACAGAATCATAGCATGAAGATATAGGTGACGATCAACTCTAACGTGCCTGAAACAAACACTTGCAGCACAATATATATCACACATTAAGCATTTTAATTAAGCTGCAGAGAGGAGGCATAGTCCAGTAAGTCATATATTTTTTGTAAAATTAGCTCACCTATAATTCTTGCACCCCATGCCGAATTCCACAGTTTTATCCGTTATTATTTGTCCTCTCGAGTCTGATATGGGTCATCAAAATTTTGTTGAATGTATACTTGTACATATGTTTCATTTGATTGAATTACACGTGAAGCCTTGCTGGTTCAAAATTGTTGGAGTGATTGTGTTACTTTTTTTTGTTTTTTTTAATCTAACTCGTCAAGCTAGTTAATGCTATAAAGGGTGTGAATTTACCAAGACTGAAAGCATTATTTTGCCACTTGTGCCTTAATTTATTTGTTGCTTTTTTTGTGTTTTCTTTTTAATGAATGAATCGGTGGGATGCCTCCTGAATGTCACCCATCCCAGTTCTTGCTGCATGGTATAGAAATGCTAGGTCTTTGCTAAAGCTGGTAGACTGGTTCATAACGTTGGCTGCACTGTTCAGTTGCTGGAGCTACAGGCTCAGTGACAAGGACAAAATAATAAAATCTAGATTTTTTTTTTTTTTTATACTTTTATCATGGCATTTTCTTGTGTCCAACTTTTATGCAGCTGATAAGGGCAGAGTTGCCAAGTGATTCTACCAGGCAGGCAACTAGCTACTCGGTGTTAGTAGGAATGGCAATGGGGCGGGGCGGGGGCGGGGATGGCTTGCCCCGCCCTTAAAAATTTAGCTCTGTCCCTGCCCTGTCTCACACAGGGTAATATTTCTCATACCATCACCGCTCTAAATGAAGATGGGAATCCTCATGAGACATCGGTGCTTCATTTAATTTTTTATTTCCTACCTGTATCGTCTCATTTTATTATCAAATTTTAAATTATAACAAAAAATAAATAATAGTTTATATAAAAAATAAATCTTAAAAATTAATAGTCACAAATTTTATACAGAGTATAATTGTAATTTCAAAGATATAATGAGGCAAACAGGATGAGACGAGTAAATATCATTTCCATCCTATCTCCGTTCTAAATAAATATGGAATAAAACGTCCCGTCTCGTTCCTTAATCAAATTGAGAAATCTTTACATTGATCGAAACGAAATGGGGTAAATTACCATTCCTACATGTTAGCAATCTTAGGGGTAAAGATATGTAGCAATGGGTTGTAGCGCTCTCTTACGAAGCAAGGAAATGGGGCAAAATAAAAAACAGAACAATCTCTTGGGATTTGAGTTCTCCAGGCCTTGAGATTAAGAAAGAAATTCAGGCCGGCCTCAAGCTCTGTTATAATTTTGAATCGTGTTACCACATGCTGAGATCTTAGTAATCGGAAGTGCCAATTTTTCTTGCATTTTGCTTTACACCCAACAAATCCAAAAGGTAAGCAATGATATCATTGCATCATATATGGTTGATAAGAAGCTTGTTTATCTTGATATTTTCTGGATGCCCCGTTCCTGATATTTCCTCTTACAGCTAGTTGAAATTTAGATCGAATAAATGGTGTCACAAGCAGAACAAATGACATACTTATAAAGCTATGTCTAGGTAGCAAATATTTAGGTTTGTTTCTAATTGGTCATTACATTACATTACATATAGCCATAATATACACCGCATTGTAGCTTGTCTAGCATTCACCAATCACTCTATAACCACCTTTTACCAGGAACCACCTCACAGTTGGCTTCTTAAGATAATTTACCAATAACACGAGAAACCCGAGTCCCTTGGGACAATAAGGGACATCATAATAGGTTAGTTAAACAACAACAAGTGATGCAAGGAGAGCCTAGCTTTCTCAGGAGTGATAACAGATTCTTACACAACTAAAGGCACCAGCTAAATAATACCAAGATTCAAGGCAGATTCTTACACAACTAAAGGCATCAGCTAAATAATACCAAGATTCAAGGCAGATTCTTGCTAGGTCAAACAGGAAAAAGATACTCACTAATAAACCCTATGCCATGCTTATTGATAGAGACTCCACAGTAATATTCTTCGCAAACGGATTCTGGGTGAGTGGCATTTTCTTCAGAGAACCATAAAAAACGAAACCAAAAGTCTTCTGAAACAGTACTTCCAATACCAACAATCATCCACGACATTCATTGTTCTCAACAAGATTCAATGTGATGCACAAAAACAGATCCCATAGCAGTACTGATAAGAAATATGACCATATACGGAAGAAAACAAGAACCAGGGATGGATTCCTAATTTAGGCATCTTCTCAGAATTGCTCTATTTCTCTCCTAAGTCCACCTAAAACCTATTGCATTCTGGCAACTAAAAATGATTATCAACAAAATGTATAAAGATCCGTTGGTTTCCCGTACTAACCAAACAGACCATCACTTTCATCCTTAATCGTTTCTCGAGAACAGAAAATAAATCAACTAATACCACATCATGACAAAAACTACGCAGAACAATAAACAAAATTTCCAAGAAACATATCTTCAAGAAAAAAAATCAAATCATCTCTAATTAACAAAAAGAGCAGATGCTCCATATAGTCTGACAGTTGACACCAACAACTAAAAAAGCAGTAGTATTGTCATACTTAGAAAAGAAAAACAACATAGTTCATCCAAAATCCAATAATTGCTTCTTCATCTCTTCACTCTCCCAATCTTTACTTCTCAGAGGAGTTGGGCCCTCTCTTCTTGCCAAATCCCACAACTGTAACAATTATAATAGCTCATTATTTTTTGGTTCAGCTACCAAAAAAATATGTAAATGAATAAATAATTGGCGAAGAGAGATTACCTGCTGTGACGAAACGGCGATTGTATTGCATCCTCTTGTGGGCACGGCCACGGGGCTTCTTTTTCTTGTCCTGCTTTGCAACTTTGGGAGTTTGGCCTCGCACCTTACCAGCACGAGCTAGAGAACCATGCACCTTACCTGCAAATCAGATCCAACGTTAAGAAGAATAAGATGAAGAATTTCATTAATCAACATCTCAAGGAGATGATTCTCAGGATCTAGGGCTTTACCCATGACTGCTGCTGCTGTTTTTTCCTTTCAAAATGGCGAGAAGATGGCTTAACGTCAAGAAGCAGCTAGGGTTTCCCTTGCACCCAGACTCTTCTATATATTACGTTAACAAATGGGTTTGGTCCAATTGAAATTGGTCCATACTGGGCTTTGTCTCCAACCCATCTGTGTGAATCATAGACTGAAAAAACTTTTATTATTATTATTATTATTATTATTATTATGGGAAAATTGATTAAATTGTCTTCGTACGTTAGGTTTTTTCTAATTCGTCCCTAGGCCCTAAATCAAGGTTTTTTTTTTTGTTTAAATATTTTTCAGCAAATTATTTTATCACTCTTTGTGATGAAATTACTCTTCGAATAAAAAAAAGTTGATTTAAACGAAAATAACTCTAAATGTTTAAATAAATAATTTTATATTCGAATTCTCATGTATGCATAAAATTCTTTAAGTAGTTGTATTTATCTTATACGCTTGATAAAACAACTAAAAATTAATTTGGATTTTTGGGCTTAAAATATCTTGAGAATCCAAAATGACCCATCAAGATACGAATCTTTTAAATTATTTTTTAAAAAATAAAAACATTATGTTAAATACAAACTCTCAAATAAGAGCCTAAATGAATGTCGAATATGCAGATTAAAAGAAAATACAAAATACAAAAATATTATTAAACAAAACGAGAAAGCATAAATTCTAATTACACCAAGCACAAAGTAAGGAAATAGTGGGTATTTATCCTGACTTAGAATTAACTAGTTAATTGCCCGCGCTACGCTGCGGATCCGAGTAGAATAAAATCATTTTAAAAATTTAAAAATTTTTAATTATATTCTTTTATTTAATTAATTTTTTCTAATATTTTTTTTATAAATTTTCTACTTAAAAAAAAACATAAATCATTCTTCTTTATGGATTGATTTTAAAATAAAAACATGTAATAATTTTAAACAAAATATTAATCAAGAATTAAAAAAATTAAAAATATAATTTTCATAATATCGTATTCCAAAAAATAAATTTATAATTAATGGATAATTTTTTATAAAAATTAACAAATGAAAAAAAAATGTTATTTAACACCGATGAGAAGATTAATTTTTGAAATAATACGCTCAACGATACGAGTAGATAGAATAAAATCTTTTCAAAATTTTTTCATTATAACTATTTTTTGTGTATTTTTCATAAACTGTTTACTTAAAAAACATGATTTAGTATTCTTTATTTAGGGATTCTTAAATAAAAACTTGTAATAATTTAAACATAAAATAGTAATTAAGAATTCAAAAATAAATACTTTAAAATTAGTTTTTTTATAAGAATTTATCCAAAAAATAAAGTTATAATTAATGTATAGACTTGCATAAAAATTAATCAATGAAAAAATAAAATTTTATTCTTATTTAATGCTGGTGAGAAGATTTTTTGTCAAGTATATGCATTTGATCTATATATATTTATGTACAAAATAATCAATAACATTAGCATAAAAAATATATTTAAATAATTGGTTGGTTCCTTTAAAAAAATTATTTTTATTATTTTATTTCAAATAAATTGGTTCTATAATGTTTAAAAAATATTCATAGTAAATAATTTGTATTGAGTTGTAAGATGTAAAGTTAATTTTTAATATAAAAATAAGAATAAAAATTAACTTAATGTGAATTTTTATAATAAATTGAAAAAATCAATTTTAAAAAATAAGAATAGTATATATTGATTCTAAAATCCAAAAACATATTGTCTATATTATATAATCATTATTTTATGTGGAAAAAAATAATTATGTTGGAACATGTATAGTTAATTTTTAAAATAAAAATAAGAATAAAAGTTAACTTGATGTGAATTTTTATAATAAATTAAAAAGATCAATTTTAAGCAATAAGAATAGTATATATTTATTCTAAAATCTAGAAACATATCGTATATATTATATAATCATCAGTTTATGTGAAAAAAATAACGATTGATTTATCAAAATTTTAACGCCTAGTTAAATAAAAAAAATATAAATTGATGAAAAAAACCAAAAGAAAAAACCAAAAAAAAAGCAAAAACTTATGTAGTGCATCATCTAAGAGGGTTAAATTTTTTATTTTAAAATTTTAGAGACCAAAATAAAACAATTTAGAAATTACAAAAAAAAAAAAAAAAAAGGTGAACGAGTGATTTGTGAGAAGATGAACAGTGAAACTCATTACTCACACCCCCTAACCCACGTCTTTTAGATATATAGTAATGATTTTCTACTTTACAAAATATATTTTTTAATACAATATATTTTGGAGGATCTAACTTACGAGATAAGATTTGATATTTATCTCAATCATATCTTTTAGATCCTATTATATACTTTTAATTGCGAAGTCACTTCATAATAAAACATTTTTTTTTTACCATGGATCATAAAATAATACTAAAACATTAGTAATGGTTTAATAACATGATTGATTGATTTGTAAAATGCACTATCTACTAACTCAATTTTAAGTTTGTAAGAAAAAATATATTTTAAGTGACTTGCATTTTTGAAATATAAAGTCATGAATATTTAGGTATAATCCACTAATTTTCTTGTATATTTTTTTAAATATAATAAAAACTCATTTTAAAATTTTATAACTTTAAAGATTTTAATTGAATACAAAAAACATATTATATATAATTATTTTAGTTTCAACAATAAATAGTAGAGTGAGAATTACACCATCTAATTTAATTCTTGTTATACATAAAAATCTATCTACTTATCTAAAAATAATAATAATAATTTGGGAAGAATACAATATAAATCGATCACTATAGAATATATTCAATTAGTAAAATCAGTTATTCATTTATTTCAATATGCCAATATTACGTTCTCTTAAAATTATTTTGTATAAATTATAGCTGTAATTAACTGTGTATATATTATTTTAGGTCTTATTCTCAAACAAAATTTTTTATATAATTACTAACATCCTTTCTCTCAATATATATATATAGTTTAATAGAAAACAAAAGCTTAATTAGAAAATGTCTCTTGTCCTCGGAAGGTTTTAACTTTTAGCATGGCTCTTTCCTAAAAGAGATTGAGGGAGAAAATGGTCCTTTTCAACAAAAAAAAAAAAAGCTAGGTGAATAGTGATTTGTGAGAGGATAAACAATGAAATTCATTATTCAAACCCCCCACATCTTTTAGATATATTAGTTGGATACTCGTGCTACGTTGCGGTCGGACAATCGTTACATACGTAAAGTCAACGATTTGGATGATATAATAAGGGTAAAAATCTTATTTTTCGTAGTTAATATAAATCAAATTTATTTGCTGAGAAAAATCATTTGATTTATATATATTTATTAATAAAATAATCGATAATATTAGCATAAAAAGTTGTATTTGAATAATTGAAAGGTTCTTTCAAAATATTATTTCAATTATTTTATTAAAAAATATTGATTTTAGAATATAAAAAAGAATAAATAACAAATAATTGGTATTATGTGTGCGGATACATAATTAATTTTTAACAAAACTAATGATATATATTTCAATTATTTTATTTAAAAAATATTGATTTTAAAACCTAAAAAAGAATAAATAACAAATAATTAGTGTTATATGTCCAGATATATAACTATTTTTCAACAAAACCATTACAAAAGTCAATAAACTAAAATAAAAACCATTACAAAATTAGTTTTCATAAATTTTACTTCTTAATTTATGTTGAAAGAGATTCTTGAATTGCAAATTAAATTATAAATTAGTTCATCTCATTTTGAAAAATGAATTAATTAATTCTTTTGGTTTCAAAAATAAATTATTTAATTTTTTTAATCGGTGTTGACATCGAATAATTTATTATTTATTTAAAAATATTTCTCATATTTTTGCTTATTTTTTTGTTTCTCTATTTCTTAAAACAAAAATTAAAACCATTGAAATAGCAAGGAGGATAAAAAAAATTAGTTTTGGAACCGAAGGGACCAATGGTGTTATGCCTTCAAATACATAATTAATTTTCAAAAAAACTAATGACATATATAAATATATATAACTATCTAAGTTGTATGGAATATATTAAAGCTAATAAATTGAAATAAAAACTATTACAAAATTGGTTTCCATAAATTTTAGTTCTTAATTTATGACGAAAGAGATTCTTGAATTGCAAATTAAATTATAGATTAGTTCTTCTCGTTTTGAAAAAAGAATGAATTAATTATTTTGATTTGAAAAATAAATTTTTTAATTTTTTAATTAGTTTTGACCATGAATAATTTATTTTTATTTAGAAAAAAACCTTTTTCCATATTTTTTTCTTTCTCTATTTCTTAAAACAAAAAATAAAAACATTGAAATAACAAAAAGGACAAAAAAATAGTTTTTAAACCGAGAGGGGCTAATGGTGTTATGCAAGCGGATACATAATTAATTTCCAACAAAACTAATGATATATATATATATATATATATATATATATATATATAAACAAACATTTAAAAAAATATCTAAGTTGTATGAAATATATTAAACTCAATAAATTGAAATAAAAGCTGTTACAAAATTGGTTTCTATAAATTTTACTTTTTAATCCATGATAAAGAGATTCTTGAACAGAAAATTAAATTACAAATTGCTTCATCTCGTTTTGAGAAATGAATTAATTAATTATTTTGATTTCAAAAATAAATTTTTTAATTTTTTAATCAATGTTCACGATGAATAATTTATTTTTTATTCTATAAAATGTCTTCTTTTTCATATTTTTTATTATTTCTTTATTTAAAAAAAAAAACAAAAACATCGAAATAGAAAAAAGGGCCCAAAAAAAAAGCTTTTGAACCACATGGACTAATTCATTTGTTTCTTGAAGAAAGAGACACGAATTTATAATCACTCTTGAATAGAAAGTGACTTTGGCTTCCCTGTTGAAAAATAAAATTAAAATTAAAAAGAGAATCGAGTTAGGAAAAAAATGAAGTTTCTCAAATCCATCGAGTATCAAAAGAGAAATTAACGAAAAGGTAGGGATAAAAATCAAGCAACACAATGAATAGTGAATCTAAGTCTAAAAAAATAATAAATATCTCAGTTCTTTTAATTTTTTCTTACTAATATATATTAAATTAAAAATAAAAGATAAAAAATTTATTTAATTTTATAATTTTTAATCAAATTTTGTATTTCATTCGTGTTTCTTTATGTTTTTCATAGATTTTGTTGTTAAAAAAACACAATTCGTTTTTTTTTCTATTCACTCATTTTTAATTAAAAACCTACAATAATATAAATATAAAATTTAATATAAATTTTTTAAAAATATCTTAATATTTTTTTGATAAGGCTATATTGGAGAAATATATCAGAAATATATAAAAATTCATATAAAAATTAACTAATGAATTTTTTAAAACTTTTTAAAAATATGCACATTTGATATATAGACACACACACACACACACAAAAACAATCAATAATATTAGATATAAAAACATGTATTTGAATTATTAGATGGTTCCTTTAAAATATTATTTTATTTAAAATAAAATAAATATTAAATATTAAAAATAAATAATAGGAAATAGCTGGTGTTATATGTGTAAATAAAAAATTAATTTTTAATTAAATCAATGATCTCAATACTTTTTTATATATATCATTACCATCTCTCGTATAAATTAAAAAATACGTTCAAAAAAACATAAATTGTAAGAAATATATTAAAGTTAATAGAATATAATAAAAATAATTTAAATTTTAATTCCAAAAAAATTGATTATATCAAGAATAAGTTAAAGAAACACATGAATTCTATTATTTATTAAAAAAACATATTAAAAATTGATACATAGAAAAAGATAAATCATATTTATTAACAAATAAAATTTTATAAAAAAAATTAGAAATTTAATTTGATGAGAATTTTTATAATAAACGACAAATTTAATAGATTAATTTTAATCAATAAAAAATATAATCCTATATATATATGTTTATTCTAAAATTTAAAAACATAAGAAGCCAAAAACATCTTTTAAAAATATGAGAAATAAAAAATATATTTTGAAAAAATGTTAGAAAAATTGGATTAAGTTAAAAAATGAGATGTCAAAATATTTTTAAAAATATGAGGATTTAAAAATGCATTTTGAAAACATAAGGGGCAAAAAAGGAATGAAGTGTAAAATTTAAAAATAAATGTCTAAAAAGCTATAAAAAATTATGAAAATTCCATTACAAAAAATGTCATACAATAAATAGTGAATTAAGGCAAATGAACAATAAATGAATAGTATTTTACTGTTCATTTGCCTCACTTCTTTTAGTTATATTGTAGTAGTAATGTATAACCAAGTCAGTATTAGTTTTAAATTATTTTGGCACCAAATTCATTGAATTTCATTTTAACGAAATTAATTTTTTTTACTTTAAAGTTAATTACTTTTTTTTAAATGTTTTTCGAGTTATTTCGTTGTTTTTATTCTTCAAAATTAATTTCAATATTATATTTTGACGGGCATTTTTTTCATAAGAAATGATAAGTGATCCATTCAAAAATATGTGAGTATATCGAGATGTACTATGCTAGTCGTATGACTTTAGGGCATAAGGACAAATTGGAGAAAATATCTAGTAAATGAGAAGGAGCTAAAATATTTTTTTTTTCCAATTTGCCCATAATAATCATATTATAAACTTAATAATTTTACTTTTTTAATAAAAAATTATTTTAACTCCTTAATTTTATACTTGGAACTAATTTAGTTCTAAGTGTTATTCTTTTGTTAACATAATATATAATAAATAAATAAATTAATGATTTCAAGATAATATATGAAAATATAAAACTAATTATCAAATTTAGAACATATTACTTATAGTTATTCACGGCCCAAATAGTCCATCTATCATCAGATTCAATAAAGTTTCTTAGAGCTGAGCAAACCATCATGGGCACATCCCGCAACAAAAGGCACTGCCGGTGAGGTCATAACTGGCAAGAGCACTATTGAAAGGGATGCAGACCTATCAGCTTCACTATCAAGTCCACGGCCCTATACACTTGCACTAGCGCTGCCATGTCTATCAGTCACACGATCAACATCAAAATCACAACCATTGATATCGCAAGCAAATTTGCCCAATTCATAAAACATAACTCAAGAATAACACTTAAAATAATTTAACAAATGAATAACAATTTGACTGAAAGTATATCATAAATTATTTTGAATTAAAACAAACAAAATTAGGAACTAAATTAAAACAATTTAACAAATGATTTGGAATGAGTTATAAGAAATAATTTTTAAGTTCCTCTGCATGCATTGTGCTGGCCGGGAACTGGTGTCTCACCTAGCTGAGATGCTAAGCTCTTAATATGAGAAATTAGTATGAGCAAACACCCAGGGAAGTCAGAAGACAACTAAATAACTTTATAACTGTATCATGCAGTGGAGATTGAGCTTAATATTAAGATTAGATGAGTTCTTTCTTGTCGGTCATTACAAAATGCAGCGTTTGAAGCAGCTGCTTTTATGCACTCAAAACACATGCACCTATGGATTTGATCGTAGACTTTCTAGCATTCATCTTATGGAAACTATTTGACACCCTAAGATCATGCACCATCATTAAAAACCTAGTGTCCCTTGTTACAGCATCACTGGTAGCAAAGCTTTAGAAGATTGTTGATGCAATCAACTGTTGAACGAATCTTGCTTTCTGTCTCTGCTCTTCGCAGTCCACCTGACCGACTCCATTAAACGAAGACATCCCATAGCTGCAAGGAGATATGCAAATTGTGATTTCCCAATGCTTGGCCATCTCATACATTCATTTCTACATAGGCAAGTATTGAAATTTGGTCTGTAATCGCTAATCACGGATACACCAATATATTGGTTAGTAGTATTTAGTTCTTACACAACTTTTAGGTTACGTTGGTTATTGACCGCTTAAAGTTTCAGGTTTTAACCTATCGTTCTCTTGAAAATATAATTACTCAATTTTGAAGGCGCACATGCACACGCACGCACACATACATATATATGTATACATACATACATATTATGATGCATGGAAACAGTATACCTTTTTGAATGAGAAGTGACGGAGGCACTTTTATTGGAAGGTTCATCAGGCTGGCTTCGTTTAGGATGTGAAAGGGATAGATTGCCAAAAAATGGTGAAAGGAGCGGATCGGGAGCAGATTCATGTGTGTTAATCCTACTATTGGTTGGGGATCCAAGAAATGAGCTCAGATCCTTGCCAAGCATCGCTGAACTACCAGTCCTAAGGCCAGATTTTTTATGTTTTCTTTTGAGCTGCAAAGGACAAAGACGTGTTTTCAGGTGAATTCAAAGCATGAAATAATGATTAAGATTGATTATTTCATTTATGCTAAGACAACAAATTAGTTTGGACAGGAGTTATGCAGCCAAACCCAACTGACTAAAGCTCAGTTGAGCTCCGGTTTTTACACATGAACGTCCAAAACAGGCAAACAGTACCTTTAACAAACTTGCATGCTGCACTATGAAATGTCCTATTGCATCTTTCCCTAGATTTGCTGCACAAAGGGGACAAACCTGAAACATAGAGGAAGCCATCAAATTGAAACTTTAATTAAATAATTATGAATATCACATGCAGCACTGAGAGATGTCCAATTACAATAATGATTCTAATTTTATCTTCATTAGCAAATGAAGATGAACAATGTGCAGGAAGTAGCATGGATGCAGGCAAAACATACACACAATATTTATTAGTATCAATTAAAGACAATCACATACTGCATTTTTCAAATCAAAGCAGTGTTCGTCCTGCAGATGGCTACAAAGGACATGAACTTCAATCTCCACATAACAGAAGGGGCATGGAAAGCAAGCTCTTGAATCATCATCTCCATCTGAATCATCCATTGACAAATGATAGTCTGTTGATACACAGCCAAGTGTGAAGCAAGTGAGACTACTGCTATATGAATGACATGGTCAACACTTGGCAAAGTACAAACCAGCTCAGATGTAAAACAGCACACCATTGTTAGAAAGTAAGAGAAATAGCCAAGAGTCAATTAACAGAAAACACTGATTCAGAGATTGAAAACAATAGAAAAGGATGTAGAAAAACAGAGAAAAGGATAAAGGATAACCTATCTGAGGGAGGGGCAACTTTCTACGTCGCCCACTTGAAGTGTGGTCCCAGTATTTACGATCTTTACTTCCCTATTATATTGCTCAATGAGTTCATGGATAATATTACTAATCTCATCGGTTTGAATGGTTACCATGAGTATTTCTTTCTTTTTTTTTTTTTTTTAATTGGCAAAAACATAATACCTAAAGTAGAAGGACTAATTAGTTATTTCTTTCATCACCCCAAACATGCCAATATTAGCACTAAAAGTACGTAAATGTAAGTCATTCTTCAAACAACTATTCAGAGTTCCTAGAGCTCCTTGTAACACTTAAATGGTTCATGTAGATGCTTGTAAACCCCAAGTTTTGAAGATATAAATGGCATAACACACACCATCAAATCATCATACATATAACAGCAGAGCTAATCTCAAATATGTTAATGCGTCTACGTAAACATTGATTCATTCATTCTATCCAAGCCAATTTATAAGCATGCAGACACCATTTAACAATTTAACTAAATCACTTTAAACTACAATTGAACTCTTTTCTCTAATCTTCCAATATCAAATAACCAGTTTCTCAAGTAACATCCAACTCGTGTTTGAGAAGAACCTTTTGTAATCCACTGAAAATTCACATCTTCCCTCAAAGTGACAACTTATCAACCAATTCATTGAACTATCACCCCTTCTACTAGCATCTGCCACAAACTACTCTAAAGCCAATCCTGTCAGCACTAACTGACAAGATCCATTGATTACAAAATTCAATCTCTTGCTATGATCAAAACCATTTAATTCTTGACCATCATGTCCATCCCCGTATCCATACTCACTGTTAACAGAAGAGGTGTTCACCAAAGGTTTCTTCTTACTTTCCTGCTGATTTTTTAGGTCGAAAAAACGAAATCACTTAGTTGAAAGGTTCAACCTTTCCTTCGAAAGTTTCAAACCTTTTCTCTTTGACAACTGCATTCTCAATGCCTTAAGTTCATCTTTAAGCCGTTTGAAGCTTGACACATCCAAATCAATCACATGTCGCACTTCATCACCTGGATTCCGCTCTTCACTCCCATCTTCTGTATCCTCAGTGCAGTTTGTCATATTGATTGACCACTTTGATAACAGATTCCCTTCAATATAATTTCCAACTTCTTACATGATAGTCAAAGCTGCCCACTAAGATCTTACGTACAATCCTTTGCTCTACTTTCCTTAATTACATCCTTTTAATAGATTCGACAGTAATGATCATAAACATAGAGAATCCAATACCTTCGAATTAAAAATCCTACCCAAAATAGCTAAGTTATGAGCCAAAAACATCTACTTCTTTACTCATTACATGTCGCTCAGTCTGAGTCATATACATATCCATATAAACTTCTTGTTTAACACTTCACAGCAATTACATATACGTCCTAAAAAAAAAAAAACCCTATAATTTCCTAAACCCTTCTCCTTGAATGATATGATTAAAATAAAAAAAAGAACACTGCCTAAATTTAGAAGAAAATGTTCAAGAAGAAGAACAACCATTTCAGACACAGCAGCAAGAAGATAAAAATTAACTCCACCCAGATTATATAATCTCTTAAAAAGACAGTTCACTTCAAAGAAAGAGAAAAAAACAAACAGAAAGAGTAAGGCATTTCTTCTAGCAATATAAAGTAAATGACAGTAGAAGAAGCTAATTAATTAAGTACCAGAATTGCGTGTGGCAGCTTGGACAGCAGAAAAGTTCTTGGCAGAGTGAACCCTAGAGGTCCAGAAATCAACATCCATGGCCTACGTCAGATTTTCCCAGCGAGACACGTCAGATTCCGGTGAGGAGTCAGTGTCGATGAGCATAGCAAGGTTGTGGACTTGGATGGAGAGGTTGGTCTTCCTTTGCCTTGCTTTACTCGCTTCGTATCATATATTGCTTTCTGACGTCGTGTAAAGCTCCTTTGGCACACCAAAAGGTAACTTCATGGATGGCTGACACGTCCTCAGTTGATTAAATCGTATTTTATTTTATTTTAAAATAATAAATGGATCAAATAATTTTACCAACTTGGATTGTTTTTTTTTTTAAGATCAAGTTTTTGTCATATAGTATTGTTTATTGTCGGGAACTAATTGGAACCAACCTCAGAATTAGAGCTTGGAAGTATGTAATTAATCAGATTTGGAAGAAGCTAAAGCTTACAGATTCTTTCCGTGAACTTTTTCTTTTCTCAGTTATTAAATGCAACTTCTACTTCTATCCATGAAAACCCAGATCCGATTTAGGAAAAAAAGACAATCCTGAACGTAACTAATATGAAAATCAATTTCATAGACATTGCTGAACCTTAAAAACTTAAAACCATATATATTTGTTTAAAAAAATGATAAATTATAAAAATCTTTCTGAAGTATTATGAAATTATAGTGATATTCAAAAATTTGAAAATATTACAAAAACCTTCTTTTGTATTAAGAATTCCCCTAATATTTTTAAATCATTTCCCTTCATATTAAAAGTGTTTTCATAAAAAAAATTTCAAACTTTTAAATGGTTATTTTATGATACTCTTGAGAGTTATTATAATTTACTCAAAAAATTAAATTTCATGCGCTAAAAGACTTAGATTCCACTTAAAGGCTTATATTCAAATCCTAGAAGCATGAAATGAAAAAGAATATCGTGTATTGAAAATGAAAAAACGAAAAAGAAAATCCTCAAATCCTAAATTATATATATGTTTTTTTTTTTTTTATGAAAAAAATAAAATGAAGAATTTTTCAAGTGTGAGAACGGAACTCATGATTTGATAAATAAAAGACACTATTCTTATTCTTGCATCTACAATTAACCTAAAAAATTAAGAAGCCTTTTTTGCGTTTCTTGATGGGAGGATGGAACGGAATGTGAGTGTATCTATGCTTTTTGTATAATAGCAAGACGTACAAAAATTTCAAGTTTTTAAATTAAAAAAAAAAAAAAAACCTATCTATTTGTTATATCAATTTGATAAAGAAACCATCTATTAAAGAATCTGTCGTGTAAAATCTATAAAAAATATTGGAATTGATCAATCAAGGATTTTTCTAGAAAGTGGTCATGGCTGATTGAACTATATCCAGTAGTTTCGATTGAACTTTTGTTATAACCATGTTGGCTTTAAGCCAAGTTGTCAGCTTCAATTCATTTCTAAATGTTGAAGACATGTACAAGCCAGCCAGCCACCAGCTTTTAAATTATTTTTGCTAGTTGCCTCGTAGGATTTCCAATAAAAAGTAAAACCCTAAAGGACAATGGGAATAATATCACCATCCGATTTGCGACCTTTTCCAATTCCCTGTAGTATTCCATCAAGGCATCGGCTGTTTGACAATTAACAATTTGATCAATCAGAAGCGGCCTCCTCTAATGATTCTATATTATGCCATATTAGTTTTAATATGATTTCAGAGCAGGCAAGAAGCTGTTGTCAAGTAAGTTAATGTGTAAAAAGGCTACTACTAATTACGTAATTGAATCTGAAATAGTAGTATTAAACAAGACAGAGTAAGAAAAAGTCATTGAACAAGACAACCTAACAAAGACATGGGCATGAACCCAACACGTCGGGCAAAAGGTTCCTTTACTTTCAAGGATGGAATATGAACCAGAGACGTTGCATTCATTATGGCTACAGAACAAAAAAAAAAAAAACCAGGGACATTATGGTCTATTGAAGAACAAACAGTACCATATATAGCGCAACATCATGAAAGGATGGAAGGAACTTCTTTAGTATGCGGCCCTTCTTATCCAAAACCTGCCATTATTTTATTAATCATCAAATATGGAGTCCTAGGCCATCTAGCTTGAAACTTGATAAGCTAGAGTAAATTACAAATTATTCATTTTAGTTTAATTTCATTTTTTTCAATTTATTATTAGTATTTTAAAAAATAGAGAAAGGAAAAAAAAGATAATATGGTAAGATTATTAAAAAAAGATATCTTTTAGTATAAAATATTATGAAATTAAAAATCAACACTAGTTAATGAATTAATTAATTAGTTTTAAAACTAAAGTACGTAACTAATTTATAATTTTGTCGATAAGCTATAGCTGATGTAAAGAAAAAAAATTGTGGTTGTGTGAGATAAATCTTATGTAGCATCTCCTGGTCAAAAGAAGATTTTTTTGTCCTGATAGTTAAATAAATAATGTTTTTTTTTTTTTAATTTTAATAGGTTCAAATTTTGAGATCGACATTTAGAATATTTTATTAAATTCGTTTGAATCTATTAAGTTAAAATGAAAGTAAATCTTTAAAATTATTTAAAAAATTAATCTCAATTAATATATTAACTAATATGAAGATCCTGTTTATGTTTATGGTAGAGTGAAAAAAAAAAAATTGGATTTGATTTGTTGCTATTAATGTTCAGAAAAAAATAGACCATATATGGCTAGAGATTTTTGCCCCTCTCTTTGTAACATGTGGAACTTTTAGGCAAAATTTATATAGTTTATGTTATTTTTCCTGGACCCTTCAAAACATAATAGTTTATGAGTGATTCAAAATTGAAACCAGGAACCTTGCTAAATGACTCAGATTCAGGCTTGCAACACGAGATTATAATATTTTTCATATTGGAAAACCATATATAACTAAGGACAAAACCACATATAACCAAGGAGGATATTTCTTTTTATTTATGCACTAATCAATGCAAAATCTTATTTTAATATATATGTTGTCACACTAGTAATTTATTTAATTGCTAATTAGTATAGTATATAGGACTGGCCCATTCTTTTTCTTTTCTTTTCTTCATTTTACTAAAGCGATGTAGATTTTAAAAAGAAAACTGCAATTATAGTGTTTAATTTTTAATTTTTATCATGTTTGAATGTCTAATTTTTTTTTTTTTTTTTCTATTTGTGTGGATTCCATAACCCGAGACTATTAAATTCTGATGTAGATAGTATATATCAATTAATACGTGGAAAAAATAAATTCCTTTCAAAATTAGAGAAAGTTGCAATTTCAATGCCAACCTTGAATTTTTGTTATGTTTTGTTTGAAAATCTATTTCATATTAAATAAATAAATAAATAATGTATAAAGTTAAGAATAAATCATCTACTACAAGGTTTAGGTCTTTTGAATGAAATTCAATCTCAAAAGCTTAAAAAAGATTCAACGGCTCATCGGATATCCTAAATCTCAAGTACTTGATAAATCTAAAAAAATAGGTTGTAAGTGAGGATAGTTGTTAGATAACCTATGCCACGTCAAATGAATAAATAATCTATGAGTAATATATAAAGTTGAGAAATGGTCATTCATCAAAATATTTAAGTTTTTTAAATAAAATTCAATTTCAACTATCTAATTTAATATGAATCAAAACTTCAAAGAGATCCAAGTGAAGGAATGTTAATGAACATATCACGCATTGAATAATACAAAAATATAAACTAATATAAAAAATATTGTATAGATTATTTTCTTTTGAAATCAAAAGATCTCAAACTCAACTATCAAATTTAATATATATGGCAAAAGTTAATCATTCAAATAGGTAAAATATTCAAGCATATTAAATTTGATATTTGAGTTTGTATATATATGAGTGTATTTCATTATGTATGACTGTTTAAATACTGAAATCAACTAACATATAATTGTTTTGTATTGAAACGAAGCAAAAAGTCTCGTTCAAAATTGTTCCAAAAAAAAAAACAAATGAAACACACATATGCACACAAGAAAGAGTTAATTTCATTTTAGTTATGAAGTTATCATTGTTTTTCAAACCAAGTGTCTTGTTTAATATTTATTGTTTGAGTAATTTAAGTTATAATCAAATGTCTCTGTTAAATTTCTGTCACTTTTGCTCCTTATTTACACACTTGAAACATTAACAAGATTCACTTGACACGTTGCAATGATGTGGCAGCCACGTATGAGAGATGTGGCTACCATGTGTAAATGACATGGGAAAAAACAAAAACGCAAAAGCTCCTTCTCTCTCCCTCTTGTTATCTTTCCAGGTAAGTAAATCTTTTTTATTTCCATTTTTCAGCTACCAAAAGCGAATTCACCACTTGAAGGTTACAATTTTCACCTTCTAATTGTGTTTGTTTCTCTTTTTGTTTGTTCATTCGTTGATGTCGGTCATCTACGCTGTTTGCTGCTACTTGCCATCAAGGTTGGAGAAGCTATCGTGACAATCAACAATTTCCAGTGCGTTCAGTCACTCAGTTTTCAGAGAAGACAAATTGTAGTCCATATTATTCTGATTTTGGTAATAAGTCCCTACCACTCCTTTTTATTTGATTATAAATTATTTATTTATTTGATTAAACATGATCATGATCATATTGGAGAAATATGGTTGATATATTCATGGATTAGAGGAGTTTAGAAGTTGATTAGTTGATGATGTGTGGAGATAGGGGCTGACATGATCGTTTTGTGAGTACATTGACTGTTTTTTTTTTAATGATCTGAGTCAGATTTTGAGCTGAATTTTTTATGTCCTAGAAAGAAAATTTCAAAAATAAAAGAATAATTTGATCAATTCATAACTTTAGCTTCATCATGTGGGAATAAGAAATGAAGAATATTACTTGTATCCTATCTTTTTATATATTAACAATAGTAATTTTTATTTGTATTGGTAGCTATTTTGGAGTTGAAGTAAAGTTTGTGATTGTGGATAGGTGTCCAAGTGGTGTTCATTTCGATTGCCTTCCCCCTCTTTCATTTTTTATGCTTGGAAACCTTATCGCGACACGTGTAAATTGTCAATTGAAAAAAAAAAAAACAGAAATTTGGTTTGAGGAGACAATAAAAAAAGATTTAGTTCTGCCCTTTTTTTTTTTTTTTTAATGTCATTTACACGTGACTACCATGTCATTATAATATGGTAAGTGGATCCTGTTAATGTGCCACTTGTGCAAATAACCAAAAAATTTGACGAAAACTTAATTGAAACATTAATTTGATTAGAAAAAAAATCGTAAATTGAATTATTCAAATAATAAAGGTTAAAAAAATACACTTGATTAGAAAAAATTACTAGTTTACTAAACTAAAAATGTGATTAACTCCACAAGAAAAGGATGGCAGGAATTTTAAAAAATAATAATAATAAAAGAAAAAATTAACGGAAAAACAATCAAAATTTTTAAAAATTATGTTGATATTGCATCACCTCAAAATCCAAATGGATTCTAAAAAGTTCTTTGTTCCGATGATATTTTTCATCATTCATTTACTTTTGTGTCTAACAACTTAAAAATGATATCAATCCATTGTACGATTTCACAACATTTTCCAAAATGTGTGTAGTCAGTACAAAATTAATTTTTATGTATTTTTTATTTTTATTTTTTTCAATAATTTCTAGTGGTATTTATTTTCTATCATGTGTCAGTACAAAATGCTTACATGTAAATTAATAACAATTTTATCAATATTTAATAGTTTCAAGTGACAAAATGATTGATATTAAAAATTACAAGGTCTCTCTACCTAGCCTTTGGTAAAGGTACAAAGTATAAGATCGTGTTTGTTTGGAAGGAAAAAAATTTCAGAAAATTGTTTTCTCTATTTTCTTCCATTTTTTGATATTTGTTTTGCGTTTAGGAAAAAATCAACAAAAAATGATTTCTAATCAATGAAAAATGATAAAGTATTTTTGAAAAAGTGTTTTTCGAGTTAAAAAAGAAAAAAATACTTTTTTTTTTTTCACGAGTCTGTCTTATTCTCGTATTACTCACATCTCTTTCGATATATTTTAACAACTTTTTCTCTATTTTTTATTTAAAATATATCAAATTAATTTTTAATTATTTAATTATTTTTCTCCATTTCTACTAACATTTGATTTTTCGATTTACAAATACATTAAATATTCTTAAAAACCATTTTTACATCTTAAAATTATTTTTATAATAAATATTTTAATAATTTATCTCTATTTTTTTTTACCATTATCCCAAACAGCACATAAACTATACTTAAATGATTGAAAATGATTATTGTAAGACTATAATCATTTTGGAAAAAATTGAAACTAATTAATTCATTAATAAATACATTATTTTTTCGACACTAGTTATTTGCAACTAAATCAATAATTTGTGATTAATTTTAATCAGTTGTAAAATTTTATTGGTAATTGTAGTCAATAATTAGTTATAAATTATTCCAACATTAATCTTTTGAAACCAAATGAACAAATATCTATAAATAATAAATAATAACTTGTAAAAATATTTTTTAGACTAAATTATCAGTTCAATTTTTTTTTAAAAAAAATCTTAATTGAGTTATTAAAAAATAATAATAGTAGGATTACTTAGAAAGTTTTTTTTTTTTTTTTTAACTAAATGTGAATATTAATTTGATTTTTTCCCAAGTTGTTTTGATGAATTGGTTTGATGGTTAAAAATATCTATTTTATGTTTTGAATTTAAATTTTAAAGTCAATATTTATAAAAGATTTATTAAAATTTTCTAAATGCATAGTATGTTGTGAAATTGTGAATATGTCTTGTTGAAGTTTTCTCAAAGTTCGTTGATGTAACAATCGAGTTTATTTTTGTATTTCGGTTTTACGTATCAAACAAATGTTGGAATATGTTTTTTAGCAGCTTTTTCATATAATTACTAAACGTCACAATATATTTTTTGAAAAATAGTTTCTTCAAAATTGATTTTTTTTATTAGGAGTTGTTTTCCAACAAACAAATAGAGCCTAGGTATCTTTATTATAATCCAATGGTGGGATATTTGAAAAAACTACCCCTTGAAGTACTACTGATAGAAGGAAAAAACTGAAAAATAGTTCACAAAAATAGCAAACTAGAGAACAGCTTTCTACCTTACATTTTCATTTTTTAATTTTTTCTTCATATCTATCTTTATATCCACAAATATGTCTTTCATTCGTTTTTGCGGTTTGCATGAATAAGATACATATGAGAAAATAAAAGGAGAATTTTTCGTTAAAAAAAAATAACAATAAACATGAAAATGTGAGACAAAAAACTGCAACCCATTTTGTAGTTTTTCTAATATAATATGCAATTTTTTCATTCAACTCATTGTTATTTAACACAAAGAGTACTTCCTCCTAATATATAAAATTGGATTATATATATATATATATATATATTGCATCTTTACTAAAGGTTAAGTAAATCATTCATTCTTAAAACTTAAGTCTCTAAATAGGCTCGACCATATGGTTGAAATTTTTTGAAATAAAAGTATTCTAATATGTTAAATTGGTAATTATAACTGAGAATGACTAAAATAGGAAAAAAAAATTAAACAGAACAAAAATTAAAGATTAGTTTCTGACATTTCAATTTTTTCTAATTTAGAGAAAAACTAATTTTTAACGACAAATCCATACAAAATCATCACATGTTAGTTGATACCTATCACATCAGTATACATTAGTATTTAACAGTCAAATGACAGAATGGACTCAAATGAAAAAATAAAAGATAAATTACTTAAATAGATAAAAATAAAGGATTAAACATTCGAACGAAATAAAAATAAAAAGATTGGATAGTGAAATTACAGTTTTCTCTCGGCTTTGATCCTGAGTATGGCGCATGCTGGATAGCATGCATTAAAGACGAACACGTGTCAGACAAGCAGACTTAAGCCCAATTTGGAGTAATGGCCTAACAGAGGAAGAATTCATTGAAATTGGGCCTAAACGGCTTTGATATGACCGAGCTTTTTAATGGAGTTTTAAGTCTCACAGCCTGATTTAGTGTTGGATGGAGATGGCAAAATTACTGGATTTGACAGGCACTTGGCAAAATCCGACCTGCTGGAGATAGGCATTCCTTTCTTATGGATAAGTAAAAGTGGATAGACGAAGGGAACATCCCCCCACCACCTCATTAACCAACACCAAACTCACTTCCCTTGTGATATGCAATATCAAGATTACTCAGACTTGGACCTCGGTTTACGAATCTTCCTTGCATTTTGTTAGAATCGAAGAATCATTAATTAGGGCAAGAGGTCATTTGCTTCCATCAGTTGTGACATTACTGTATATCTAATACGTTAATCACAGATACAAAAAAAAGAACATTCATCAGTACCGTTATTGGAATCTTGACAATTAATTCGTAAACATGGATTTTGTGGTAGGAAATGATTCTGCAGTGACCATCGAATGCTTTTATCACAGTAACACAAAAGAATTGCTTTTTCTTTCCAGAGCCATCCAAGTTCTCCAACAGCTTAATTGGTGCAATGTATTTGAATTATGGACAGCTTACTATATCCATCACCATCATGAATTCATGGTTTACATGTGCTCATGTGAGATGCAAGTTGATATGCACAAATAACATGTATAGGGCTATTTCAAGAAAAGGGTTTTGTTTTTTCCTTTCCTTTTTCTTTTCTTTTGTATTTTGTTTTCATGGGTGATTATATATATACACATATTATCAAAAGGATAATAAAAGGTTTCCATACAGGAATTCATGATGTACTCAACAATTGGTGGATAAAGGACACATGATCACACACATACAATTCAAGACTTCAAAAGAAAGAAACGGGAATTCACAGGGTCATACTTAACCAAGAATGGTAATAACTTTTACTACGACTTTGGACCATGCTTCAGATTAAATGAAGCGAGGCAAATTAGTTTCAACGATGGGATCGATTTCCCTGTAATCAAGACAATTATAATTTGTTGTTGTACTAGAAAATGGAATCTTACAATATTAGGGTCCACACACAGACCCCGGTGCTCCCCACAGACAGATCGATGATCCCTATTTCTATGGAAACCTGTGCTCAGCAGCAGCTTTAGTTATTGTTATCATTAAGTTATTAAAAAGGAATAACGAGAGAAATGATAACAATCAACAAATCTTTAGCTTTAAACATACAAGATCTTATATGTGGATGGAACCTGCTAAGGCTCAGTAGGCACAACACCAACCCTTAGTCAACCTAGATAATCTTTTCATCATTAAAGAAAGCAAAAGGAATGTTTGTTACAGCTCTGTCATGTTTAAATGTCAGCAAGTGATGGTTAGTTTTTGAGTTCTATTTAATTTGAGCTTGATGTGTGGAGGCACTAGATAAAGTGTGGGTAAAGGTTAAAGAAAGAAAGAGTGAGCCCCAGCTATAATCGTGTCATCAACTAGCAAGTAAATAGCCACCAAAAGCCAAAGCCATATATATGTGGGGCAGCTCTTGGGAAAACTTTAAGGAAATAAAAAACCCAAATACTTAGGGGTTTGCCATTTCCTTTTGCTACCTTAAAGTGAATACGAATCAAGTACCGCACATCCCACCTCTTTGTAAAAGCAAAACAATGTTAGAGAATGATATAAAATTATATATTTAGTTCTCATTTAATAATTTAAGTTTTAGTATTATCAAAGATCACCATTTCGATTTCACCATCTCATCATTCTAATTAAATTAAAAAAAAAAAATTGTTTATATTGTTCTTTAAAAGATTGAAAAGAAGCCATCTACTGTGACAAATATTTATCAATTAAACCCCACCTTCTTTTCCCTACACAAATTGATTTGCATATACAAAGACCTAAGTATAACTTAAAGTTTTCAGAACATGAGATTAATGAAAATTGTAACGAAGAATTAATTAATAGTATAATTAAAAAAAAAAAAAAAGAAGGAAAAATTGATAGTATAGCCAAGCCCAAACGGGAAGCCATCATTTAGGTCAACGTTTTCTACACTTTATATGTTTAGGTCACCAGCAAAGCTATGTATATTCTTAGCAATGATTACAAAATTAAGATATATCCATTTGAGGGGTGGATAAGTACCCAAGTATTATAATATGAGAGAAACAAAAAACTTATATATAGAAGAAGCAATACAGAATCAAGATCTAGGAGTACAATATGAAATTTATTTATTCATTAAGCACTTGCACACACTACTTGCAGCCTAATAATAACTGTCTGTATCAACACAGACTAATCATCACGCCACTATAACTAATTTTCTTTTTTGTATTATTACAAAGAGCACTTATGACGACATAAAATCAAATAGACATCAGACAATCCTAACTCTCAGAGGACAATCAATAATGCTTAATAAAGAAAAAGAAAAAAGAAAAGAAAAGAAAGAAAGAAAGAAGAGGAGATAGGAACAATCGGTAATGAAAACAAGGACTGATAATTGTACAACTATAGAAGCAAAATATGGTAATCAATCGGACCAGGAAAGCTCGATTCCCCTCGCATGGATGCAACCATGCATGTTATTATTCTTGGTGTGGAAGGACCAGCTCTAGCTTGCTTGAATGGAAGCAGCTTGGGAGGTTACTCATCTCATCGAAATGAGGAGGATCCCTAAATGGCCTTTGTTGAAGGAATGAAATAAAGATGATTTTGATCACCACAAAGTTGAATGCTACTACCATGGTGTGATCAGAATAGAAATGATCAAGAACATTAATGCAATTAATTAGTACTTTGGTTGAGACTTGAGAGAGAAGAAGAAGAAGAAGAAGAAGAAGAGAAGCGACACAAAAACATGCATTTAGATGTCTATACAAGTATGATCCATCATTTATACTAAAATGGAAAGTGTGGTCGTAGAAGGGAAAGCTTTATGTGGAGGCAGCTGTCTGTGTAATATTGTGGTGCACGCATACTATGCAGACCCTAGCTAATCTTATATTCCCGCATGCACGTTTCTCTCTTTAATGCACAGTGGTGCCAAAGCACGTTTCCACAGGAGGAGGAAAAAAAAAAAGAAAAAAAGATAAGAAAGAGATGGACGGTGAAGGGTTTTTTTCGGAGGCAAAGCATGGTGCCCTAAAGCCGAGGCCCTTTTTTCAGGCCTTAACCACCAAAAAGGATCTTTATATGGCAAAGGGTTTGAAAATTTTGGCTCCACTCCTCCCCGCTACCACACACATTTTTTGTTTTGGAAAATTCCACAATGCCTGCATTAATATGCTAGAGTCATCATGCCTTTGAATTCCTTTATCCCTATTTGAACGACACATGGCAAAATAAATTTGAAAATCTAAATAATTTATATATATTATTATGCATTCTACCACACAACAAGTATACTTTCTAATTTTAATTACTTTTTTTCGCCCTTAATTCTAAAAAAAAAAAAAAAAAGGCCAAAGGATTAGGCCAACAACTATTTTTTTCGGTGATATATGGAGGAAATCCAGTCATTATATATGTTAAAAACACAATTAAATGAAAACTTCATTACAATAAATTCATAGGCATTAGAATTAGACAATTTTATTTTCAAAATTAGGGGATATGTGAATTTAAAATTTTTATGTATAAAAAACATAAAATTGAATTTTAGTCCAAAATAGTTGTTAGGGATGATTTTTTTTTAATTAGATTTGATTTGAGTTTAGAAGGTTTTGGATAAAGTGAAGATGTGTTTTTTGAAAAACAATAAATAATTTGAATTTTTAGGGGTGATCGAAATCCAGCAAACCATTCCAGACACCAGAATATTTTGCAAAATCCATCAGGCAACAGACAGGATGCTGTTTGGTCCTTGAATTTCCAACTCTTCTACTTGTACATACTGTTCGATTTAGTTCTCAAACTTTCACTTTCAGTTACATATTCTAACCCCCGAATCCAAAATTTGACATTCCTAAAGTAAAATTAATTGTTGTCTGTGCCATTTTTATGCTTATTATTATTATTATTATTATATAGATTGATTTAAAGTTATTTTTTTGAAATTTGGATGGCTAGTTTAGATGAATTTTTTTTTTATCTTCTTAAGAATATAGGGACTCTTTGGTTTTATAATGATTCGAAGATGATTTTTTTATTTGATTTTTGGCTGATTTTCTGATATATCTTATTTTTATTTTGAAGTAATATATTTTTTTAAAAAAATTTATAATATATTTTAATCAATTTTATATTTTTCTTTATTTATAGTTTCCTTTTGAAAATAAATTTGCTCAATGAATTTAATTTTCAACTTTGATTGTTCTATGTAAGTTGTACATTTCTTGGATATATATGTACATGTTTATTGTTTTCTCACACTAGTTTAATTTTTATTATTTAATTAACCATCGCTTTAATCATAGATTTTCACAAAACCATATTGTCATCTAATTACAAATTATCACACCACTTTTTTCATTGTCAAATTTAGGTTTAAAATTAAACCTTTATTAAAAAGTATGAAACGATATATATATATATATATATACCAATAACCCCAAGGATCTAACGAATGATGCGAGGATATGAAATGGAAAATGAATGAAATGCGGATTGATAAATGGGTGGCGAGCCGACCACGGAGATGCGAACAAACAAAACAAAGAAATAAAAGAACTTTAAATTAAAACGAAATAAAACTAAAGATAAATGGGTAGCAGAGCCGACCACCGAACAAGATAAACGAAAGGTACGTGGCGTTGTTAAACCAAGGTTAGGCTCGATGATACTAGGTATCGTTATAGAGCCGAGTTATGGTATTCCAGTCGATATACCTTAAGAGAGAGAGAGAGAGAGATATATATATACATAAATGTAAGAAACTTTTATTTATTTACAAGAAAAGTACCTTACAATAGATGAACAAGAGAAGTTTTCGGAATCTTGAAGGAACAGGATTACAAAGAGAAATCTTTCCTAGAGAATGTCCGAGAACTTAGAGAGATAAAATGTGCGAGAAAATAAAACTTACAAAAACTTGAATTACAAATGAAATGAGCTTTCTTTATATAGAGAAAGTCGTCATGAATAGTAACCATGTACGGTAAAAGTAAATAGTAACTTGCTACGGTGTCTTCAAGTGTTGATGAACGAGTAAAACGCCGAAAGCAATTTTGTCTTCTTGTGCCACGTGAGGTGAATAGCGACAATCTTGTGAAATTTTTGTTTACGTAGATGACTGTTTTATCGGCAGATAGGAAATTGCCTGGAATGTGCAAGTTTTGGCTTGGAGTTCACGAGTGGTGAACTTGGGAAAAGATACCATAGCAGTTGTCTTCATTGTTATTTTGCAAATTTATCATAGGTTCGACTTAGAATCCGATCCTGCTTTTTGTGAGGATTGTTGTCTACTGCGAATAATTTCGGACATGATAGCAAAATATGCTTCTTCGGTTTGTGTTGTTGCCAATCCGGCATTGGCAACGGATTGTTGAATGGGGATACCAAATCCTCGGATAGAAATGCCGCCGGATGAGGGGATAGGAAGGATATGGCCATGTTTTTTGAGCCATTGGAAAATAGAGGCTTGGGATAGATAAGAGGAATGTTGTAATTATCCCACCATTTGACTTTAAATCTTCTTATTAAGATCAAATTTTTTTCTTGATATCGGGAGTCATAGTACCAAGAACGGACCCAAGGTACCAATAACTTTGTGCAAAAAAGGAAAAAGGGAGACCATCTTTTTTCTTATTACGTAAGTCGATAATTAGTTTTGAAGATTTTGAAGCTTTCCAAAACACTTGGTGCAAGTATTTCGGGGATGGAACCAAAAAAGGACCACCATTGGGAA